ACTTTATATTTTTTCTCTACATACCTCATTAATCAGAAACCATTATCAACCATTAAGCTATCCACATGTGAAATGCGCTTGTCGAGCAGCTGGGACGCTTTTAAGATAAACGTATCTCACGCTTTTCGACCGTATGCTGGGCTTATCATAGCTGACCAAGCCTCCTGGTGTCTCTCTCACGAGCGCCTTCGCTGTGTAAGTTCGCTTATATTGACTGGACGTCGGCAGCCTCGGCATGAAATTATTTGGTCTCAATTTCGATTTCGGAGCAATCAAGCACCATTCTTTTTTCGTTATATTTCCAACAGTAGGTCATGAAGCAGCTGAATAGCCTCTTTTTTCTGGTCAGAGGGTGGCGTGCTCCAGGAGGCAAGAAACAAGTGACGATCGATTTTTTTAAACATATTGGACACACTTGTACTGTGGACATCAAGCAACACTGACAACAGCGAAAACGTTACATTGTAATGCAGCTTTATATACTTGAACAGAACGACATCATCATCACCTAAGCAAAAGCTGCGTGTCATGAGAAGCACGCGAGCCTATGTGTGCAGTTCTGTGATGTTGTAAAATATATCTAATGAGCACACTCCGGTCTGTTCAAGCAACCCTTTTTTGTCCGTGATTTTGGATATAGTTTTCAGTTGCCCTCGTTTGAACGGATCACTAGTAGGTGTCGATTTGAACACCAAGCTCCCACTGAAACTTCTCAGGTTCTGCAGTGAGCTTTGGAAAACAGCCAAGTAGAGAGGAATTTTTATGGTTTATTCAGAAGAAATATCTTGTGTAGCAGTAAAGCATTGCACTGATATTACAGGTACCTTCACAATTTTAACTTACTCGTTCAGTCTCTCGGCAGACACCGATGATGCATTGCCTGTAGCTACAGGCGAAACTTCAACCAATATTTCAGGCATGGTTAACAGGAAAGGCAGCGCTAAAATTGACTGGTATATGAAAAGGGAACAATCTGCCCGCACTTGCAGGAGCATCAAGATCGATTTAAATTTAACACAATCAATTCTGTTGATAATCTGAATGAATTGACAGGTTATGTGTACTATGTTTTTTTCTTGGTATTCAGGCTTCTCAACAAAATCACCGAAGCAGAAAAACTGATACTCAAGCAACATGTTAAGTATATCCTGGGCCATGCAGAGAGAATCGCAAGTCCCTTGTGAGTAAGCACAAGTACAAGGGCAAGCAAATAAAAAAGGAAAACTGATATATACTAGTAATTTATTTATATTGGTTTACGTTGCTCGCATTTGCTTTTGCTGTATTCATTTAGTATTTCAATGTACTATATTTTTGGCATATGTGGTCTTGATGATTGTAATGTACAAGTAATGTACAACAAATGTAAGTCAAGGTGTCTAGTTCGTTATTAGTCCGTGCTCAAGAATTTGCGCGTTGCAAGCTCTAAACTATAGGTTTTCACTAAATCATGTCTTCCTGATGCTAAATATCGGATGCCTGTTTTACGCCAGCTGTCACCCCCAAAGAGTTCCACATCTGCTACTAAAGCAGCATCTTCTACTGGAAAGGAGTTCAAACGCTTGCTGTTCCCCGTGTTTCCCTTTGTTTTCAAGGGGTCCAGCTGTAAGGAGTTTGGAGACTAAAAAAGCCTTGGGGTCCTGCAGTAGTCTCTCTTACACCTGTAACTGACAGTTCAAACTAAAGGGTGTTTTTTCCCGTATACACAAGACGGGAATAAAGAAAGATTGATATGCATATTTTGGGCATTAAATACATGACATGGATGTGAACTGGGGGCAATTGGGCCGTTTTCTTCTGCTATGATAGAGATACGCTTCCACTAATATGACATGCTGTAAAAAAATACAAAAAAAAAACATGCCTCCATACGTATGCGAACTATATGATTAGGAATCTCAATCTACGTAAACACTGTACCACGAGCATTTAAAAGCCTTCAGACCAAAGGCGTTTAAAGCATCGGCGAATAAGCGCATGCAAAGTTGCACGCGCAGAGTCTGGATCGTGAGTTGATTTGCCATCCGCTCAAGGGCCATTTTCAATGCTCGCAAAGCGGGCTATGATATTCTTGAACCTCATGAATATGCAAGAAATATAATTTCAGCGCCAGAAACACTTGCGCCTCCGTTTGGGCGACCCCTCGTACGATCGCCATGTGTCGTGTTGATGAACGATAAGGTTCACCGACGGAATTGCAATTCCTCCTTGATAGCTGTCGGTATTTGTAATGTTATTTATAACGCTGTGTCTAAAGGTACGTCGGACGTTTCCCGACCCCAGAGTCTAAAGATACGTCGGACGTACCTGGAACCCGGAGTCTAAAGATACGTCATCATGGCGCATGGCGTTATCGTGCATTATTCTTCCTGCAAGTCATCGCAAAAAAAAAATCGTTCCAATTCTATATAAACATTGCGTGCAAAATGTTCCTAGCGCTCAAATGAAGCTATAAGAACTGCATATTTAGTAAAACTAGAGGTTCAATGCCTTTTAAACAAGAGGTTGGTGCGCCTTAGAGGTATGGCAACACACATATGGTTCTTTCAGTACATGAGCAAGTTCACGAGTGCAGAATCACTGTTAACTAAGAACCTTTAATTAATTCACATTAAATTACCACATGCCACTAATACGCAAATTAAATCGCAAGGAAGCAGATTTAGTGTCATCTGCTAAATGAACTTCACTAACAGCTTAACGATTGTCATGTGCTAAATAAACTTCACTAAAAGCCTAAAGATTGTCATGTGCTAGATGACTTCACTAACAGCATCAAGACATCAGAAATGACAGCAATGACATCAAGACATCATTGCTTTTGTCAGTCGAGTCGTTGAGTCATCTATTTAGAGACAGGTTAAAAAGCCTAAAAAGAGCTACATTCGTTGGAAAGCGTAAAAGAGGGGCTGCAATATGACTAAAGTTCCGTGTTTGTTTTCGAATAAATCCGAAAAAATCCGAAAAACATTCGCCAATAACTTTTCCGTCAATTCGGATTTGTCTGAAAGACTCCGAATGTGGACATCACAGCGACAAAATAAACAGCGAAAAAGACGGAGTTTTACAACTAAATTTTGAAGAGCACAAGGTCAGTAGTCCTGGGGAGATTCCGGTTCCGTTCCCTTTTAAATTTCAAACTAATGACAAAAAAGGGGTCTACTTTATAGCGCGTCGAGGTTCCCTCGGGACAACGGGTCATGGTACCCCGATCTTATTTATTTTGTTTTCAATTTTTTGTTTTGTTTTACACGGTAAAATAAATTTGAATTTCGAAGAATTGTCAATCTAACAAAAATAAACGCCGATAAACTCTGAATCTCTGGCGAAGAATAAACTTAGAAAAACACTTCTGAATTTCACGAGAAAGGAACTCCGAAAACACGGAATCCTGTGCATGAACTAGAAAAGTTAACAATAGCATGTAACAACCTCACATTTTAATTAATCCTTTAGAGCATGTAGCTGCGTCTGAGAAATTACTGCGTTGAGTTTCATTTCATTTCATTAATTTATTAATCCTTAAGGGTCCTCTTCAGAGGGCATTACATAAGGGGGGCAACACAATAATTTATACAAGAAATAAAAACAAAAAAAAACAACATAACAACGCACACTCATGCAACGTAGCTAAGAAGACCTAATTTGGTGTGGAAAGATACAACATGATAGAGATTTTGAAAACCACAGGGTCAGTTATTGTAATGAGCGATTCTGGAGCATTGTTCCAGTCCACAATTGTGAGTGGCAGAAATGATTTGTTAAAGGCATTACTGGAACCCGATATACGTTGAAAATTGTAGGAGTTATTAAGGCGACGAGACGACTGCGCGGGAGTGCGCAGGAATGAGCTTCGAACACTGGGATGATAGTGGTAAAGTTTATGGAGTAAGCAAAGACGGTGCATCCTTGCGGCGTACCTCCAGAGTTGATACATTTAGGCTCGTTTTCATAGCAGAGACACTGTTCTTATAGTTACAGCTTGATAAAATGTAGCGGGTTGCTCGGTTTTACTTTGCTTCAAGTTGGGTGATCAAGTAATTTTGGTGCGGATTTCATATTGTAGAAGCATATTCCAAGTTTGGTCGAATGAAGGTTTCGTATGCAAGTTTCCTAAGCTTTGGAGGAGCAGCATTCAGGCAACGCCAAAATTAACCAAGGGTCCTTGCTGCGTCCGAAGAAATTGCGTTAATGTGATTAATCCATGTCATATCGGAAGTTAGTACGACACCAAGATATTTATACCTATTGTGGTGTTTGGCGGAGTGAGGTTCGGGTCGGGTCACCCTGGGTACAACGCCGCGGGGAACTCTGGGATGGGGCACCCGGGCGGCGAGTTGTCTGTTGCATTAGGCCGCTTGAGCTGTACGCTACGGAGCAAGTCGCTCCCCATGTTGGTTGCGGAATAAAGACACGTTCCGTACCAAAGTCTCTCCTTGTCGACGGACACACAACATAAAGTGGCGACGAGGACTTTCGAACGACCACCCATGCGAGCAGAACTCGAGCAGCAACTGGTGGACGCCGTGTAGGCCTGAGAAGACAGCAACTGCGGCGGGTACGGAGGAGCAAGCGACGCAGCGGAATGGTGCAAAGCCATGGCCAAGTTTGGGCAAGTCGAACATTTTGACGCTTCGTTGTGCTCATGGTCGTCATACGAAGAAAGACTAGCGTCGTTTTTGAGAGCGAACCATGTGCCGGAAACCGACCAGGTTGACGCCTTTTTAAGCCTAATTGGGCCTACGACGTACAACTTACTCAAGTCGCTAACAGCTCCTCAGCTACCAGTGACGAAGTCCTTCGACGAGCTAACGCAGCTACTACGAGACCATCTAGAACCCAAGCCGTCTGTTATTGCAGAGCGAGCCAGATTTCATCGCCGAATTCAAGAGGAGGGCGAGACTATTGCGCAGTTCGTCGCCGCGCTAAGGACGCTCGCACGAACGTGCGACTTTGGCACGTTTTTGGATGAGTCATTGCGTGACCGGTTCGTTTGCGGAATGCGCCGCGTGGACATTCAGCGAGCACTTTTCGCCGAAGATAAGACGTTGACCTTCCAGAAAGCGGTTGACCGGGCCGTGGCTTTGGAGACAGCGATAAAGAGCACATCCGAGGTGCACGGGTCTGGTGGCAACAGCGACCAAGTGGAAAGCGCCAGCGTCCACAAGTTGAAAGGTGACAAGGAAGATACTAAGAAGCGAGGGGTGGCTTGTTACCGTTGCGGGTCAAGCAAGCATCTCGCGCGCACGTGCATACACAGCGAGGCGACCTGTTACAAATGCCAGAAAGTGGGGCATATTCAGCGCGCATGCCGCTCATTTCAGGAGAGGAAGCCGCAAGGAAGGAAGAAGTCGCTGAAAACTTTAACGGTGACTAAGGACGCCCATGTCAACCGCATTACAGCTCCAAAAGACCAGCCATTGACGGTAGAAGTGCTGGTTGAGAATTCGCCGGTGACAATGGAAATCGATACCGGAGCGGCGGTATCAGTCATCTCAAAGCAGCAGTACCGTGAGAGGTTTGCGGCATTGAACTTGAAGCCGACGGCGCTGCGGTTGAAGACGTACACCGGGGAAACTGTCAAGCCCTGTGGAGTTCTGGAAGTTAAAGTTTCGCATCAAGAGGAAACAAGAGTCCTGCCATTGTATGTCCTGAACCAGTCAGGGCCACCACTTCTTGGCCGGGAGTGGCTACAGAGGCTGCGGTTGAACTGGAAGCAAGTGACGGGCTTCAACAATCTTCAGAGGAGCACACAAGGGGCAAGTCCGATGCCAGTGGACAAGTTGCAAGTATTACTAGACAGGTATCAGGCCATCTTCAAGGACGAACTGGGGAAGATCTCTGGAGAGGAGGCGAGGCTGTTCCTTAAAGAAGGAAGTCATCACAAGTTTTTGAAGGCCAGGAGTGTACCCTTTGCATTGGTTCCAGCTGTAGAAAAGGAACTGTCGAACCTAGAAGCACTTGGTGTCATCACACCGACAACCAGTAGCGAGTTTGCGACACCATTAGTGCCTGTTCCCAAGAAGGATGGCACCATACGATTGTGCTGCGATTACAAGATGACATTGAATCCGATGTTGGATGTTGAGCGTTATCCCTTGCCGAGAGTAGATGAGCTCTTCTCAGTGCTGGCGGGAGGTCAGAGTTTTTCAAAAATCGACCTCAACAGAGCATATCAGCAGGTTGTCATGAGTGAGGAGTCCCGACGATTACTGACCATCACGACACACAAAGGCCTATACCTCATGAATCGCCTACCTTTTGGAATAGCGTCGGCCCCGGCAATTTTCCAGAGGGTAATGGATAACATGCTGAAAGGAATCCCAGGGGTGGCATGTTATTTGGATGACGTGCTAATTACCGGAAAATCGCAGGAGGAGCATCTAAGAAGTCTGGAGGAGGTGTTCAAGCGTTTTGCGGAACGAGGCGTTCGCATCAAGCGAGAAAAGTGTGCCTTCTTCCAGGATCAGTTGCAGTACCTGGGACATGTGATAAGTCCTGAAGGAATAAGGACGTCGGAGGAGAAGGTGGCTGCTATCGTAAAGGCACCAGCACCAGCAGACGTGTCGCAGCTGAGATCGCTTCTGGGAGCCGTGAACTACTACGGCAAGTTTGTTCCTCAACTGGCAACCATAGTGGCTCCACTCTACAAGCTACTGCATCAAGATGTGAAGTGGCACTGGGACCGTACATGTCAAGAGGCCTTCCAACGAGTCAAAAAGTTGCTGATGTCCTCAGAAGTGCTTGTACACTACGACCCAACAGCACCCTTACAACTGGCGTGTGACGCATCATCTTACGGTGTCGGAGCTGTGTTGTCTCACATATTGGAAGATGGAACTGCGCGGCCAGTCGCATACGCGTCACGGACACTGACGTCTGCAGAAAAAGGGTACAGCCAGTTGGAAAAGGAAGCGCTGGCATTGCTGTTTGGAGTGAAGAAGTTTCACTTTTACCTTTATGGACGCACGTTTAAGCTTGTGACGGACCATAAGCCCTTGCAGACTATTTTTGGACCAAAGACTGGGATCCCGGCAATGGCAGCTGCACGTCTGCAAAGGTGGGCAGTGACCCTGTCTGCCTACAGGTATTCTTTGGTGTTCAAGCGGTCGACTGAGAATGCTGAAGCGGACTGTTTCTCCAGACTTCCAGTGGAAGGGCGGCAAGAGAGTGACGAAAAAGTGGAGTCTTTTTGTTCCTTAAGATTACTGTCCTTGCCGGTGGACAGTCGGGACATCGCAAGAGAAACCGCACGAGACCCGTTGCTGAGGCGGGTGTACGACTACGTCTTGAAGGGGTGGCCTCCTTACGTGGGAGACCAAGCGCTGAAACCTTGGTTTCAACGTAACACGGAGCTGTCGGCACAACAGGGCTGCCTTATGTTAGGACTGCGAGTGGTAGTGCCGGAAAAGCTACGGAGCGTGCTGCTGGACGAAATCCATGAAGGGCATCCAGGAGTAGTGCGAGCCAAGGAGCTAGCTAGGAGTTATTTTTGGTGGCCCTCAGTGGACCAGGATGTGGAAAACCATGTGAAGGCGTGTGAGCAGTGTCAGCAACAGCGTAATCTGCCTACGCAAGCGCCTTTGCATCCTTGGTCGTGGCCCACCAAACCATGGCAGCGGGTACATGTAGACTACGCTGGACCATTTCGAGGAGCTATGTTTTTGGTAATTGTGGATGCCCACTCAAAATGGCCAGAGGTGTTTATTATGCAAGCGACAACCTCGGCAAAGACTATTGAAAAGCTACAGGAGGTGTTTGCGCGTTTTGGAATGCCCGAGACGTTGGTTTCTGACAACGGTACACAGTTTACGTCAAACGAGTTCAAGGACTTTCTAAAACGGATCGGAACACGTCATGTGTTAACAGCACCGTATCACCCCAGTAGCAACGGCCTGGCGGAGAGATTTGTGCAAACCTTAAAATCGGCGCTGCGCAAGGGAGTTGCCTCGGAGCCACTGCAGCAGACCTTAGGAAAGTTTCTGCAAACCTACCGAAACATTCCACATGCAACAACGGGGGAGGCGCCAGCAGTTTTGTTTTTGGGAAGACGCCTTCGCACTAGACTGGATGTTCTCAAGCCATCTGTAGAAAACAGAGTGGCCAGGCATCAGTTCCGCCAGATGTTGCAAAGAAGCTGCCGTACCCGAGAGTTTAAAATAAAGGACCGGGTACGTGTGTGGAACCCCCATCGGGGAGACAAGTGGCTAAAGGCAACTATACTGTCAAGGAGCGGTCCTGTCTCGTACAAGCTGCGTGTGTACCGGGACCATGACACAGTCATCTGGCGACGCCATCAGGATCACATTCGGCAGGAGGGGGACCAGGAAGTTGGAACGCCGGCGTCGCGGGAGGAAGATGGAGCTAGCTTCATACCGCAAGCTTTAAGTACAGCAAGCCAAGCGCAGCCTCCCCCTGCCAGCCCACCTACAAGTGCCTCAACGGACCTGGGGTCGACCAGTATTTCAAGGCCTCGAACGCCGACTCAGCGCTATCCAACAAGAGTGCGCTGCCCTCCTGATCGTTATTCACCGGGGGACTGACCTAAGGGGGACTTTCTCAATCAAGTGCGGAAGAGTGTGGTGTTTGGCGGAGTGAGGTTCGGGTCGGGTCACCCTGGGTACAACGCCGCGGGGAACTCTGGGATGGGGCACCCGGGCGGCGAGTTGTCTGTTGCATTAGGCCGCTTGAGCTGTACGCTACGGAGCAAGTCGCTCCCCATGTTGGTTGCGGAATAAAGACTTCTTTGATGATCTCATCGTCCAGCACATACTGGAAAGAGGAAGGGACTCGTTTACGAGAATTAATTTGCAAACTCATCCTTTTGGATGAGTTTGCGGTCATTAGGTGAAGTGATCTTGCGATAGAGAACACATTCGTCTGCAAAAATACGTATTTGATAAAAAATAGAATTTGGAAGGTAATTCATAAATATTAGAAAAAAAAGAGGCCCAAGGACTGTGCCCTGGGGCACGCCAAACGTGACATTAATTAAATCAGATTCGTACCCACTTAAGACTGTGTACTGCATTCGCGAGTCAAGAAAATTACGTAACCACATCAAGACTTGGGGGTCTAGATGAAGGCGAGAAAGTTTAGAGATTAAACGAATATGTGAGACACGACCTAATGCCTTGGAAAAGTCTAAAAATATTGCGTCTGTTTCGTTGCGAGATTGAAGGCTGCAATGAAGGTCATGCGTTAATTCAGAGTTGCGTCTCACAAGAGTAACCTTTGCGAAAGCCATTTTGGTGGTAGAAGTCATTGCAATATAAATGCAACATTATGTGCGAATAAAAGATATGTTTAAGAAGTTTAAATGGAACGGAAGTTTGTGAAAGGGGACGATAGTTAGAAGGCAAGGAGCGATCATAATTTTTGTGGACCGGAACAATCCTACCTACTTTCCAATCGGATGGGAAGCAACCTTCGGATAGTGACTGATTAAATATCAGTTGCAAAATATCGCTAGATACAACCTTAGTCTTTTTCAGAATCTGCGATGATATGTTATCTGACCCTGAGGATGATGAAAGCTTGAGCCCATTGATAAGAGCGGCACTACCGGCCGATGAAACGTTGATAGGGTTCATGGGCTCGTAGTGAACAGCGGGTAGTTCAGGCACATTTAAAGGACACTCGTCCGTGAAGATGAATGCGGACAAGGTATTCATTACCTCTGAGCAGATTCTTTCCTCAACTGGGTTGCCACCCTCATCGATAAGTGGAATGATATCATTGTTGTTTTTCGACGTGATTATTTTCCAAAACTTTTTGGGGTCGTTCTCAAGGATAGTTGGGAGCTCCCGATTAAAATATTTTCTTTTTGAAGCTTTTATTAAGTGGATATAATCCTTAAGGCAAGCATAATACTTCTCCCAGATACTTGAACAGCAAGTCATCGTTGCTTTGCGAAAGAGGCGTTTTTTCTTATTGCCAAGTGATTAAAGCCTTTTGTTATACCAGGGCTGGCAACCATCACTTCGGATCCGTAGAGTAGGTACAAATTCCTGAATAAGGTCATTCAATTTATTTTTATATAAAATCCAGTTGTCATTCACACTCCTTAGATTAAATTGGATTTGATACGACTGCAAGAAAGTGGTCAGATTTCTGTTCATTGGCATGAAATCTGCTCTACTGTAGTCCCGTATCACCTTTTAACAGACACATTAACAAAAATGGGAAGGGATGTCAAAAGTTTATGGTCACTGAATTCATTGCTGTAGGTAACGAGTCAAACAAGATCAGGGGAGGACGTGAGTGCAAGGTCAGGGATGTTATCCCCACGGGTTGGGCTCATGAGAACCTGATTTAGATTAAAAAGCAAACTGTTAGACTTGACCAGCTAATATTGGGGAAGTTGAAATCTCCGAATGACAGGATCGAGGTGGTTGATCGTTACGCTGGCTACACGTGGAAAAGGAAGCACGCGCAGTGGGGGACGCCACAAAGATTAAAAGAAACAGTTTTTTTTTTTGTATTTTGAGTGGTGTTTAGGATTTGAGTGAGGGAACAAGAGATATGATGGAATGACAGAAGTTTGCCTGAAACAGTCGTCCTGGCGGGCTACTTTCAGGAGGTGAACACAACGAAAGTCGCTGCTCCTTGAACCTTTGTTCTTTTGCCCCTTTGACCTTTTGTGCTGTTCCCGAAAAGCGAGGAGTACCTTCCCCTTTCTGATTCCGTCCGGTTGTTGCTGGCCCCCAAGAGTGTAAATGTACTGCGGCGAGCGGAACCCGGAAAACGTCACCGCGTGAACGTCGCACCACTGAAAAAGAAATATCCGCCTTCTGACCATAAGAAATCGAAATACAGCTTGGTTTGGGACCGCACTTCAGTCGTAGAGTAAAAATATGGAGGATACGGTCTGTATTTTTTTTTGTGTTGTTTTTTTGCAAAATAAATAAAGAAAGAAGGTTTTTCGTTTTACGACACCTATGTTGCGCTGACTCAAAGATGCGTCCTCCTCGCCTGCCCCTCTACTACTCCTCCCTCTTGTACGGCGACCGACGAAGCCTATCTCTCAAAGGCGCGAATGATCTTATCTCGTGCGTTTTCAAGAGGTCCCTGGTATAAAAGGGACTGTCTTTTCCACCCAATTAATGCACGTATCTCCTACTGCCAGCCATCAGAAATGACTCCCTACATGCTTCTTCTGGCAATATGCTGCGCGTCACAAATCGTAAGTTTGACTTCTCCCTATCTTGTCTTCTCATACTGTGTATAAAATAAAAAAAAAAAATACACGGGAATACTTTCCCGGACAAGCTAACGGACGCTACGCGTTTCTCGGAAAGAGATGTAGATGAGGGTTAGCGGCGGCAAATAACTGTTTTGCTGCTACCCTCGAAAACAAAATCCGCCATGAGAAAACACAGACCGCGCCGTTGATCAGTCTGACTGCCGATAGACTTACACGTTTCTAAGCGAACTACGATGGATGCTGTGAACGATGCTTTAATCCATTTTTTTCCAAATATATTGCTGGCACCTAGACAAGCGAGTTGGTTCGAGACTTGGTGGCTATAGTCGATGACTGGTTAAGAGTGAAGTGTAAGCTCCTCGCACCTTTGTCCCCTTTGGAAGAGCGAACGCTGTCACCGACTGTAGAAAACAGCGCACGCGTAAAGGCGCGTTCACACTCTTGCAACCGAGTACGACCGAGAAAGACTTCTTGAGACCGGATGCGCTGAGCGGAGCTGGTCCTAAGAGATCGCAAGAGGCTTAAAAACCGGTTTGGTCTCTCTCGGTCGTACTCGGTTGCAAGAGTGTGAACGGGCCTTAAGGCCTCTCCCACCCGTTCGACAGGCAAAACATCAGGTACAACCTGTTAGCTATTGAACCGGTGTGACCGAGATACGGCACTCCCAACTTAGCTGTTTCCACATCATATGTGTTGTCCCGGGTACCGAAGACGATACAAAGGAACCATTTTCCCTCTCTGCTGAACCAGAAGAAAAGGAAAAAGAGAGAGAAAGAAAGTACCAAATCTATTTACATTCTAATCGTTATTTCTGCAAAATGTCCATTAAAATTGAAAATCCGATTCAGTAATACACCGAGATTATACAATAAATGCATCTTAAAGCGCCAGTTCTCACGGAGTTATTTTACACGGAATGAATATGCTCACGAATAAAATCAGCACATAATTATGGAACTGATAATGAAGGCTTAATGAGGAGAACTTGGGCCTGAAACTAAAACAAAAAACAACCTTACATTCTACGTCGGCGACGAAAGGACGACTGTCCCGAAGCAGCGCTTTACGGCTGCTTTGGTTCTAGCTCTATGTTAAGGAAAGTTCTAAACCAGAACACACGATGGCAGCCGAGTATGAGCTGGAACTATTCAAAAGAGCAAAGTTAAAAAAACAAAGAAAATTGAAGCTGAACCAAGCGGGGTTTGAACTTCGAGCCCCCGCGTGGCAACCGTCACCGCGTGAGTTCCCAACTGCACCGCACGCGGCATTATTACTTATCAGGTTTCAGTGCTTCCGTTCCTGTTTTTTTTATCGACCCGATAACGAATCGATAGACCTTTTGCCTTTACTTGAAGAGACAATACAATATTAAATGGTCTGTGAAGATTTCCTGGAATCTCTGACCACGTACTCGTAGGGCAGATTAATTTGCGTTCACTTTGTTCGCCTAAAGTAGGAGTTTGGGGTAAATTGAAGGTTAACTAATGGCAGTCCAGGAAATATAGAGTTCTGATTTCTTTAAAAGCATATACTTATCTTATTGTTGTATAAGTGCGTCTGATTTTTTCTCTCTTACTTTTCCCCTGCAGGTGCTTCAGGGCGTCGGTAAGCAGATAAATCCATGTCTCGTCACCTCGTGGGCAGTGCGTTCATAAAAGTCAGAAGTGGAATGTCGGTTTTCTGGAAGAAAAAATATGTTAGCATTTTTTCTCCAAAACTACGACGATAAAGAAGGAAAAAGGAGAAGTCAATCTAAGAAAATAAGTCAATGTTTTGAGCTCTCTCCGCTCACAGGGTTAGGACCTAGACTCTCGAAGGGAAGGCGAATTCCCTAGACCTTTTTTGGAAGTGCCGGGATAGCGCAAGTAGGTCGCCACGTAAGCAATATAGAAAAAAAATAATTATTGCCATAAATACGTCACGAGGCATATTTAGACTTAGGACCGATTCAGAAATATGTCGCTATATTTTCTGACGTCGAACACGAAGTAGAAGCTTCCTTCCGAATCACTCTTAAAGCAAAGCAACTCCCCCACCCCCCTCTCCCTTAAAAAAAATAAAAGAAAAGAAAGTGCCTGGATCAGACAGGTATGTGACTACATAATAGTTGACCCCAAAAAGCTTTTAGAGCGAAGCTCTTAGGCGCCCGCTTTCGGCTTGAGCGGCGTCGCTGTCGACGTAACCTTAACGCGCCGGCGTAACGCATCGGCGTCGCCGTCGCCGTCGGTGTAACCGCGCGGTGCATTATGGCAAACGTCCCATAATGCACCGCGCGGGAAGAAGGAGGGAGGATGAGGAGGGAGGACGAGGAGAAGAGGGGGAGGAGGTGAGGAGCACGGGAGGAGTAGATGAGGATGAGTCAGAGGGCCATACCGTCCCCCCTGTAGCCTCCCGTCCTCCTCCCCAAGAGGTGCGCTCTAATTCGGCGTTACAGGGAGTTGTCAACGTTTTTCGTTTCTATCTTAGGGGACAGAATTCAAAATATTTATCCCTAGAACAAAAAATGACGTTAATTTTTATTCGATATTTACACACTTTATATTCTTAATACAATATGCAAACATTACTCGAATTTTTTCTTTAGGGGATGTTTATTTCGTGGCATAACTGTCATATCCAGGCATATGGTTGCACGTGAGCACGAGCAAAAGCAACCACTATTATATTGGCATTATTAAAATAAATATTCCTTTGGAGTTCAATGGAGGAACCAGGGGTGAAGAAAGGGGGGGGGGGGGGAGAAAGTGCATGGGACAGACACCAAGCTGGCAATGCGAAATGGCTGAATTGTACGAAGGTTCGGAGGAGACCTTGCAAAGTAAGCCTTGGGGTGGGTGGCATTCATGCTTCGTTCTAGAGCGCTTGGGCGGCAGGAGGGACGAAAGCGCCCGACGCGGAGTCGGAGATCGGCTTCATTGACGAGTGGGCTTGCAGCAACATTGATCCTTGCAATGACTACTGCGTGGTGCGGGTTTAAGTCTTCATGTGAGCGGAAGTACTGAACTTGCAGAAGTTCGTTTTATAGCGCTGTCATGAGGTGCCATGTTTTCGAATATATTTAAATTGTCGCACATAATGCACAGCTTTCCAGGCCTTATCATTCGGGCAATTATGGAAATGTTGGGAGCTGTTGGCGCACTCGCGTCGTTTGGTATTACGCAGGAGAGAGCTACTCTTCATGCCCAGAATGCGTTTCATCTTTGTCTATAGACCAAGGTGGCAGCGCAGAAGGCGATTGTAGGTATATTACACTCGTTGATATCTTGTAGCTAAGTGGTGTTGTGGTTCACTGAATTGCTCGCCGACGAGAGAAAATGCTAGGGAAGTTAGACACAAGGTTAAGGACCGACAACGTTGTCTGATAAACACATCAGCCGTTGCGTCTTGGCAATTGCAGGCAGGGCGATGGTCTGAGCATGACCGTTATCCGAGTGCGTAATCAGAATGGCGGGCTTTCGGGTTATTGGTACCAGAGAACATCATACTGCTAATATGCGAGAGATGAACGGTGGAAGGTGTTTCTCACCTAATGGTAAAAAGCAATGCAGTAAAAGCGTACTAATGTGTGTACTTCTTTGAGAGAAGAAGGTATATTTTTTGTATAGTCTTATTATCTGGATTGTGTACTTCGTAATTTATGGGTGCGGTTCGCGCGTCTATATCGTCTGGCTACTAGGTTAGACAACCAATTTTATAATATATTATTTCATTCATATATCTGTTCATTTTATGCGCTCGCGAACAGATGATTCCTTGGTAATTACGCACAAAAGTATGATACGTTTCATTTATTATCTATCAGTAATCTATATACCTTGTGTACAGTTTAGTATAACAAAAGTATTATACTTTTAGTGTAATATATTATTTTTACTGGGGGTACGTTTGTCCAGCATACGCCGAAGAATGAGCAATACAAGTTTTCCCCGTGTGTGCAGTATACGATTCCTTTGCAACGAAACTTAGCTTGCTTTTTCTGAATATAAAGTATTCTTGTGATTACCCTCCTCAAGTTAAGACTACTTTACTTGTCTAGGAGTAAACTAAATTAGAAAAGCAGATTTATCTGATCACCGACGAGGCTAATACTTTGTAATACAATCGGTTGGCCCCGAGCAACGTGTTAATAGATCAACTACGTAGAGGAACTCCCCCCAGAGGAAAACTTTCCTGGCCCCCTTTCGCTTCCCAATAACGACTCCTGTGTATTGAAGATACATCTGTACTGCATGCTTCACCACATTTGAGTTCTTTGGGTTACCGTCAACTCCGCAGGTTTTTTTCATTGTCTCAATTTGCTTGAAATTTCGCTAAACTCAAAATCAGACATCGTTAAAGTAGTATCCCAAATATTAGGTCAAAGTAAATATTTTTCGCGAAGTTATTGAATTCAGTTTTGGTCCTCACCGTGTTTTTCAAACTGAAAGTCTCTACTGGCAACAACGAAAAAGTGACGTCAATGGGAGGCAGGGGTTCACTCTTTGGACTGTAGAATTTGTTCTCAACTGATTCCAAGCAGTTTCATGGTGTCAAACGAATGCTTTGGAAGCTCGCTCCAGTACCCGCGCTCCAGCACGGAACAAACGATCGGCATATTCTATTTTTTTAGACTGCTCGCCCGATTGGCAAGCCTGCCTGGCACTGACGTCACGGCAGTGAAAAGTGCGGGTATATTTGAATGTTAGTTTTTGCATCATTTTCAGTTGCCTATTTCACAATAATTATTATGAATCTCGCGATACTAAATAGCACACCGGAAGGGGTAAAGGCCGGGGAGTCAGAGAATATAGTTAGTTGAGGTACCTAAAAAAAATCTGTGGAGTACCCCTTTAAAGGGGCACTGACACATCAAAATCATATTTTTTTTATTATCCGAAACGATTGAAAACGATGCCGGGACATTACCCTCAAAATTTGAAATTTGGGAGTTCAGTATTTGTGAAGTAAAAAAAACAATTTCCAAATGCCGAATTCGAAGTTCCCGCGCGATCGGCGCCGGTGCCTTGACGTCAAAAATCGCGGAGACCTGAGAGTCGACTTTCTTTCACCACTCCCTGCTGTTGCCATGGCGACCCAAAGCGAGGAGGAAAGGAGTGAGCGGCGGCGTTACGGCGGACCGGTTTTGAGCGGTGTCGCCTGTTTTCCGTTGGAGGATACAAATCCAGGAGACGGCACCACAACGAACTCCCGATTTTTGGTATTTCAAAAAGAAGGGCCGTAGTGCGTTCGCAATTGCGTTAAAAAACATGTTTTACGATTGCCGTAATTAAATGTTATAGAGATGTCGCCCACAAAGCTTCTAAATTTCCTGATTTTTGACGTCACCGATCAAAAGAAGCGAGGAGGCGAGAGGCGGGAAAATCAAACGCCAAAAATAAAAGGCGCGCGCGCGCGGGAAAATTTTTTTTCGCGATGCGTTTTTTTTTTTGCGTGTCTATGACTGCAACTTGCATCGTTTTAGACAATAAAAATAAATACGACCTTTGGGGTGTCAGTGCCCCTTTAAGGATGGTTGAAACATTTGGATCGGTTGCGTTCGCACGTAACCAAAACGACCGCAACGACACAGTCAGCGGGACAAGCGTTCGCCGGATGCAGCATGGCAAGCGACGCACGAGGTAGCTTCGCGAAGCAATCCACGAGTCACGGTGTTTTGGTCGCTTTTCTCGTTTCGATTGCATGCGAGCGCAACCGTTGCAAATGTGTGAGCCAGCCTTTACGGCCATCTTCCAAACCCTAGCACTTTGAATGGCAGCAGAGAAACTTTTAAATGAATGAGCTCCCCTCCCTTCCTCCTTTTTTTTTTTTTTTTGTTGTTGTAGATCTATATTCTTGGTAGCTACAGAATGCGCATAGAATCATCCACAAACTGACTTTTCTTGAATTTCTTTCTTGGTGTGGGGGAGGGGGGAAAGCACGGTCAAGTTGCGAAGCGAGACAGCAGAGGAATGTATCGCAAACTGTCCAACAATTGCGTTTCTACGTGAAATGTTTTTGGTTTAGGACTACTGGTGCTATTGTAATCTAATGCTTAATTTGAACGGTCTAACGTTGACCTTTTTTTATTGTTCAACGTTGTTGGGGGTAAACCAAGAACGTTTCTGGAATCGATAAATTTACGGGGAAATTTGCGATACATTGTTCGTCCACCACCCTGGACTATAGCCGTCGGATCTTTACAAACTGGAATGGCGGTGAGATGAGCATTTTTCTAAGGTCGTTTAGCGGGGGCAAGTTGGGCATGTGTGGATACTAAAAGCCGTTGCTCTGGGAGAGGTGCGGGATCTTATCTCAATTGAGCGTCGACTCGGATACCGAGCAAAGAACAAAGCTCGTGGCGTCTTCACTAGGGAACTCTCGAGCAAGCATTTTGAAGCATTCTGGACGTGCCGTTGACACATCAGATTAAAACCATGGTCGGTCACAGACGCAACACGAAACGACAAGCTTATCGTTTGTCATGCGCTTCTTGAAGTATTCGACGTCACTGGTCGAATAAAAAACCCGACCAAGGGTCACGTTCCTCTGGGGCGTTTTGACGTCACGGGTCGCTGAAGCAGCTCGTTGGAGTCGCATGCCGAGGTTGCTGTGGTTGGCGTCGATGC